CTAGCTGTTTGGATAGTATAACTATAGCCTGATAATCAGTAAACACGATAGCCGGACCGGCTTATATATTATTAATCCAGTATACTATCTTACCGAGTATCTAAATATATTCCGCTAGTTCTAATTCCGTTACCTAGTATCTTTTCTTAGCTAGGCGTAGTACGCGTGAGAGGAATATAATTGGCTAAATAGCTATACGCGGAGGGTATACTACCTTATCTTAGTGTAGTATCTTACCTAATATGGCTTTATCGATATAGAATACCTGGACTCCGATACCTTTAAGCGAAACGTTAAACTCGATAAAGAGCTTAATATAGGGGTCGAAAAGGGCGAGTATAATATTTTTATATAGGGCATATTTCACGTCCTTAAATACTGCGATCTCCTTAGCTATTAGTAATAGCACGTTAACCGATTATGCCTAAGCTATACGGGCCGATTATAAATTCCTCTTAGCGGTAAGCTTTCTGATATAGGTTTCTATAGTGTTTATCTATACCCTACGATATTATTTAAGGAGATTAGCCTTCCGTTCCTTAAGTGGCTCTATCTTTATAGTAAAATAAGGAATATAGTGTCTAAGCGAGTTAGCTACCCTGATCTAGTGCTCTAGATTCTTAAGAGTTCTCGGGAATACGATATCCCTGATAGCCTTAATTTTATTTTCTAGTGTAGATAGGCTTTACGTATCCACTATCTTACCTAGTACTACTACGGAAGGTATTCTAATAAACGATTTCTTTAGTCCGATCGAGATATTACATCGGAGGAATCGTGTAAAGATTTCTCGCAGGTGTTATAAGTATTCGGCTAAAGTATGGCTGCTGATAACGATATCGTCGTAGTATGTTACTGCCTACGTCCCGAGGAGTAAGTTATTTATTATCCTCTGGATATACGCGTTTAATTTTTTAACCCCTATAAATGGATACTTGAATATGAATTATCCGATCGGTGTGGAGATCGTGAACGCCTATCTATGATCTGGGTAAACTTGCTATTAGTAGTGAAAACTAATAGCGTCTAATACTGTAATCTATTTTTTCCCGGAAATATATTAAAGGATCTCCTCCTATATCCGTATAGAGTATATATCCGGTATAGTAGCATTATTAAGTGGTCTAACGTCCACGACTATACGTCCCTTATATTTACTATTCTTAACGTTATAGATGATAAAGACTGGCTAAGAGAATAGGACGTGGTGTATAGTGCGATAAGCCTTATTGTCGGTGATAAGCTTCTTTATTATATCCTTAATTACTTCCTTATCCTCGGTGTTTACGGGGTAGAGCCGATATCTTCTGGGGATGCGGTTATACTAATCGGGTCGTATTATAATATGTATATACAGGTCCTTTGGTACGCGTGCGAAGCCTTTGTCCTGGAATACCTCCTAGAACTCTAACACAAGTTCGTCTAGCCGTTTTATACCGTTGTATTTATATATGTGTACTCCTATCGAGTGTACTATGGTGATTTGATTAAGCGATTTAATATCCCTTATTACCCGTTTAGGTTCCGGTATACGGGGTAGTGCGTGCTGTTCGACCTAGGGTTCCGATATATCTTCGGGTATCCGCTCTGCGTTAAGTGCTTTGACTATCTACGCGGTGGATCCTAGTTTAATTAAAGTAAGATAGCTAAGATATATGCCCGGTGGTATTACTGCCTCGGATACGGATTTGTTATGGAGTGGAACCTCCCGTAACTCCGCGTTGTATAGTAGGGTATATACCTTGACCGGGAGACCGGCCGGTTTAAAAATATAATCTTAATTAGGTGGTGCGGAGTGAAGGACCTAGATAACGGTTAACGCGTGTGGTGCTAAGGTTATTTAAGTATAAGCGACGACCTTAATATAGTGCTGCTGCGATCTGTTATAATAAGTTATAGATATCGTGACCTGATAACTCTTAATATGTATAGAGCTTATACTATTCAAAATATCGAATTATTCTGGTGCTATATAATCTATGCCTAAGAGTAGATTAGCTCGTAAACCGTTAACTACTAACGCCTCTTAGGTGAATTTAGTAATAGCTGGTCGGTCTCTATGTATTCCCTTAAACCGAAAGAGGAGTAATACGTAATTCTTTATAGAGTACGCGTTATCTTTAATGTCTTAAACCGTTAACGATATGGCTCTGAGTCGAATACGATTATTTAGGTAGTGTTAACGGAGGAATACACGATCTATTAACGTAGTGGAATATCCTATATCGGCGTATACGTCGACCTCCGTGTTAGACATGGTGTCTAGGGTAATCTTGCACTTAAGGTATAAGTAGGAGCGAAATCCGTACCCCGTGCTAACGTCCTTAGTGGTATTTACCGTGGATTAACGAATTTTAGGGCCTATAGTGTCCGGTATAGTGGTTAATAGTAGGCCTTGAATTATAGATTCGGTGGTATAAAGTGCTATACCTGGCTTTTAATGCTGTGTGCGAATATAGTAATGAAGTTTATTGTTACTAGGAAATATTTGATTATAGTGTTTATAGATTCGTGGAATTATAACTGGGGGGCTTGGAGTTATGATAGTGTGGTAATTATAGGTTACTGGTATATCGCTTTGCTCCTTAGGTTTAAGCTATCTATCCTCTCTATATTCGAAAACGTCGTTGTCTGGGTTATCTAACGGGCCTTATTTAGCTTATGTAAATTGGTCTGTGTATAGGCCGTTAAATTATTCCGGTTATCCCTTATCGATATGGTCTGGTTCGTTATAGTAAGCCAGTATAGCCCTGGGCTATTGGTTGGGCTAAGAGACTGATTTAGAGTTAGACTCTTTTGTGGGGTTCTGATTAGGAGGTTATATTTAATAAGTATCGGGTCCCGGAGTAGGTTAGTTCTATTTAGCCTTCTAAGGGCGTAAGGGGCCTCCGTTATTATTTCTACCGCGAGTATACCTACTATACGAATTATTCTAGTATTATATAGGCAGGTAGTTCCTATTATACGACCCTCTGCCGCGATATTGATTATTTGGAGTTATACCGTGGTTAGGTGTGTAAGCGTGGTTAGTATACGAACGGTTATCCTGTGGCCGTTTATCGTTTATACGGTTATTACTAAACCGATTATCTCGGGGATATAACTAATACGGGGCCTCTATTAGGGGTGGATTAATAAGCGATCGGAGTGTGGTATCCTTATACTGGATATAGTCTATTTATTCTGTGTAAGTGGTGGACGTTCTTAGTTAGTTAATGATTCTCTTGACTTCCCGGTCGAATATATTCTAGATATAGATAAGCCTGCCTTCCTCTATAATAAAGGCTACTTTGGCTTCGCGGATTATATGCTGAATATAGTCTTCGAGCGGTTTACCGGCTATAATATCCCTGATACTAAATCGGCTAGATAGCTAGCGGGTTATAGCCATGTCGACTAAAGTCTTAAACTTCTTAATTAACTTAGTATAGATATTATGAATCGGTCTATTTCGTATAAGGTCCTTATCGGCATTAATAAGGGTTCTAGTATACTAGGTGAGTGCTCTGCCTAATAGGTATATAGTCTATACGCGTCGGACTTATTCTTCCTGGGTCTTAGCTAAATCCTTAAGGCGATCTGTGAATACGTATATATCCGTGTAGATTATAGACCTGCCGTTATTAAGAATCCCTCGCTGTTTAGAGTCCTTGGCGTCCGGGTTATATATACCAATATCGACGGGGCGTAGCAGAGCGTCGAGTAGGAAGTTGAAGTTATGATGGTGAGCTTGATTATTTTGGATTTATGAATATTATGTCTGTGCTATGGGGTTACTTATTGTTCTGCTCCTGGATATAATGGCCTCCTGTCCGGACCGGGGGGGATTAGGAGCTTATTATTAACTTTGGTGGATATTATTCTATAGCTGTTTAACCTGTTATTATAGGGGTAAAATGGCCTGCTGGATAAGATATAAAAATCGGGCGTCCGTGTCCTCCTACTTATTAGACCGGTCGTGGTATAATATTACTCTGCCCTGTTTAATAGTGGTATTATCTAGGATTAGTGAGTCTGGTAGCGGAGGCAGACTAATAGACTTAGTGTGTTTAGCCTGGATACGGGATAGAAATTATAGGGATAAAATCTCTAATAACGGTGGGTTAGTGCGTGAATATAACCAAAGTCGAGATAGTGCTAGGGGAACCGTTTATTTATAAGTAGGGAGTTAACGGGGTGTGGATAGATACACTACGTTTAGTGCGATAGTTATAGCTTCCGTGTCCGGGGTGTCTTATATAGAAGGTTCCTGCGTTACTGATAATGGTTCCTATACCGGTTAGTCCCGCCGAGGGTAACGTGTTAGGTATTCCTACGCTAAAAGTGCTAGCTTATCTAGAGCGGGGTAATCGTGTACGTTATAGAACGTTTCTGCTTATTTTCTAAACGCCTATAGAGTAGATTAAATCGTCGTAGAACGAGTAAGCTAGAGATATAGATATAGATCCTCTGTGTTATAAATGTCTTCGATATATACCGCGCGATATTACGGGACGAAATACTATAATATAGCGATATCCGTTAGTGTAAAAAGATTAGTAAACCTGCCGTGGGCCTTATAGTATCGAAGGAGCTATCTTATAAGGAGTATATTAGTTAGCCATATCGGTGTGTTTATGCCGATAGTCGGTAGATAGGATAGAATACTAACTCCTAATCGAGTAAAGTAGTCTATTATCGGCTGTATAAAGTTTAGTATAGTGGATTTAGCGCTATCTTAGCTCTAGTATAGAGGAGGCGTTAGGGGACGGGTCTTACGCGGTGTGTCTGGAATAACTTAAATTACCCCTTTTATGCTTCTTTAATACGGAAAACGCTAGTCTTAGGAGATGCAATTAATAGTCTTATTTCTCTAGTATCGGACGAGAACGATAGTTACTACCACTATGGAGGTAACTAACTATAAGGGTTAAACTAGTGATATATAAAGCTAAGCTAAGCTATACTAGTGCCCGAATAGGCTATAACTAATATATATAATTAGTATCACGTGACCCTGTGTGTGGACTCTAGTAGCTAATATAGCCGATATAGTGGGGCTGCGCCACAACTTTACACATAATTAAATAGGGGTTAGAGTGTAGAATTTACATATAGGCAAGGGTATTATAGCACGTAGATAGGAAAAAAAAACCAAAGAGACACAATACAATACAACGCGCACATACATAGCCGGAGCCTACTAATCGACACACACAGAAAGTAGATATATGAGATGTGGTTGGGTTTATGCCGCTAGCAAAGCTCTCAACGCATCCTAACCAGGATTCAGATATTCGGCCTTTATTCAAGGCTTGAATTTCGCTTCACTGTCTTCCTCCCAGGAGCCGTACGTTTGTGGCGGGTCAAATCGAATGTTCGACGTCGAGGTAAACACGGGTAAATCATTTCCCTTCACCGCAGTTAGAGTAGATTTGTTCGGAGGCAACAATCTGTAGTCGTCGCGTTGCGGTGCTTGTGACGGGGTTGGTTCGACCGCCTGACAGTGGTCAACAGAGGTGCCGGAGATGGCAGGCACGGCACGCTCAGACACCGGCCCGGTGGAGTCGATTTCAAGCACCGGAAGCGACGTGGGAGATGGTACCATTTGTGCTTGGCCGGGAACTGGTGTCGACATATCAGGGTGCACTGTCGTCTGAACCGGTAGCGGTTTGGGTGACAGAGGGGCATTGCTTTGCTGGAAAGGAGACACGGCTTGCATCTCCGGCGAGACGGTCGCCACGCCAGGTTGATGGTTCAAGCTCTCATATTTGGCCGATTTTGTCTTCGCCGCGATCGCTCTAGCGGCCCGGGCTCTGTCCTCCTTCTGAGACTGGGTAATCAGATTTATCCTGATTTTCTTCATACCCGTCGTTATCTGTTCCACACCATCATCGGTTGAGTGGTGAATTTGACCAGTCGGTGGTTCGTCGCCGCTAGATGCGGATACACGTGGTGGCTCCAGTGTTGGACCGTTTGCTGCTGCCGCAGTTTTCTTGCTCCCTCGTAATGCCCTGGCTGTCCCTCCCCGCGAGGTGGCCGGAACCTTGGTTTTACGCACATCGGTGGCGTTACTTTTCGGGATGGCAGCATCCTTCGCTGGCGCTGATCCCCGGCGCAGGCTTGTTCCTCCGGGTTGCTGTTCCCTAGCAGCCCCCGCCGGGCCACGTGACGACCCTGGTATAATGGACGAGTTGGACGATGTCGCACTAAGTCGTCGTACAGCCCTCTTCCCCTGGCCGGGGCCGCTGAATCCGGACACCGTACCAGCCGTCGCCTTGAGACTCGTCAGTTCTTTGTCAAAAAGGACCTAATACGGGGATGGTGACACCCACACTTCCAGAGCCTAATACTGGAGATCCAACTACAGTCTTTCTCCTTGTCTTGTCTCGCTCGGCATCAGCTGCGACTATGGGTCGCCGCTCGTCTGCCGCATGCCTGGTTGGTTTGCGCTCGCGCAGGGACATTCGTGAAGTGGTAAACCTCGGCGCTACCGGTTCTGGGGGTGGTACTGGCGGGTTGAGCAGAGACTGCTTGTTTCTGCGAGCCCGCGTCGCCTCTGCATTGAGATCCTCAGCTTTGCAACTTTCAGTTTGACGATCGCTAGGAATTAAGAGGTTGCTGAGCTCATGCACTGCCGTTATCCACGGCACGTCGGGGGGCGGAGGCGTTGGCGGGCGTGAAACCATGTCATTGAGGAATGAGAGACCTGATATGCTCCGCGGTTTTTTCATGGGCTGAACGATCTTTGCCGTCGAGGCCTGGGTCGGAGATGAGTAAGTCGAAGGTGTGCTGCGGCGAGACTTCCGCGACTCCATTACGTCCCCCGTGCCAGCTTCAAGATCGTCGAGCGCCGTGCTGGACCACCAGGAGGAGTCGTAAAACTGCAAGGAATTATGTGAAGCAATTGCCTGGATACCGAGCTGGCCGTCCTCTGCGGTTGTTACCTTCTGGCCCATCAAACTGCCATGGGTCTGGGCCTCGGCCGCTTTGGGTTGTTCGCCGCCGACCAGTCCACTGATATGGCTCAAGACGCCGGATGACAACGCTCGGTCACTATAGCCTCCTTCGAGAACGCTGATTACCCGGCCACCAACCTCTAAGCCCTCCTCTGCTGCCATTTTAACGACATCCTGGGTTATCCGAGCATAAAACCCAGTGGGTACATTCACGTTGTGACGTTGCATACCCTTCATTTCCCACTCGCTGGCGTCAAAGCCGGCTGAGAAGAAGATGGCCGCCTTTGGGTGTTGCTGCGCCGCACGCAAACGAATGGCTTGTTGCCTGAGATATACTCGCGCTTTGTCGAGAAGGACGGCATACCTCGTCTCATACATGTCCCAGAACTCGGCTTCCGTGACCCACGACTGGAGGTGCACATTCCATATAGTCTGACCATGTGCGTTTTCAATGCACAAGCTAGCATTCTTGACTTTGTCTTCGTCTCCTGCTTCGCAGGGGTACGAGTTGATGTCGTGGATACTGAAGTATCCGATGGAAGCCTTCTTCCACGCCGCTGAATTCTTCGATGCCGCCGAGGCCCTTGCGTTTTGCTGCCATGCGATGGCCTGGGAGCCATCTCCGTGATGAAGGTCGAAGTCGATGATGGCCGCATGTGTTAAACCGTGATGGAGGATGGCATGCATGATACCAACATGTACATTGTTGATCCAGCAGAAGCCCGACGGAAACGACGCCGAGCAGTGATGACCAGGCGGTCGGATGGCAACAAAAGCACGACGAGGGCCTGTGGTGAAAACGCGGTCCACGGCCTCGCACACAGCACCAAGAGCCCCCTCCAAGGCATCCAGAGATTCCGCACACAAATACAGGTCACCCTCGTGGAATTTTGCAGGAGCACCCTGGTCAGACCCTCGATTCATTTCAGGTCTTTGTAGCTCTTTGCCACCCATTGCCAGCTTGTTCTCGGCCGAGGTGCTCATTATTCTGAGCTCCTCCATCCATTTGGCGCCGTGAACATTAGTCACAACAGGAGACATTAGCGGTAGCCTGCGGGCGGTCTTCAGAATCCGAAAAGGTATAGGAACTGTTCCTGGATCCAGTTTAGGGTGGATAGCATATGATCCGCCGCAGTGACGCTGTCCCAGCCGGACATAAGCCATGGCAACTCCCAATGCGCTCGCCCTGATCCTCTCGGGGCGCTCAACGATGGTGCTGAGGGCAGCCCTCGAGGTCTTCGGGCGGGAGTATCGGTGGCCGTAGCAGGCATCATGTAAAATGACGGCGACATCAGCGGGTGTAGTAGAGTCGGCGCCGTGATGGATTTCAAGTTCAGCCTTGAAGTAATCGCTAGCAACAGAGCTAGGAGTCGGCACGGACCTCGAAGTGTGTTCCGAGATTGCCGAAGCAAATGGTGACTTCGGAGTGGGCGAGGAGGCTGCGACCAGGCTGGAACGACGTGAAGGCGGCTGACTGGGAGCCCTGCCGTTGGCGGACCATAAGGAGCTGGTGGAAGCCTTGCGGAGGAGGGTGGGGGTAGACGACCTTGATCGCGGCTGTCTATTCGCAGGACTTCGTGGGGACGGTCGGACTCTAGCCGTGGACGGGGACGTTAGGGGCAGAGAAGCACTGTGAGGTGACAAGGCGCCATGGTCACAGGGTGCGGTAGCCTGTTGGACTGCAGGCGAGGTCGATAGCGAAAGATTCTTGAAGGACTGCGATAAGTCGGGGTTTTTGTTCTGAGTTACCGCGTCCTGGGGCTCCGGAGGTGGCCGTTCATACATGGAGGGCATGGCAAGATTCTCCGGCGCATATGTGTGTGGGAAAGGGCAGAGGTTACGTGAAGCTGTGTGGGAGGGGTAGAAGTTATCCGTACTCCGTAGACAGCTCTACGAAGACGGGTGTGGAATGAGGATGACATGAGCGCGTGGATGGGGCTGATGTCAGATAACGCGTAGTCGAAATCGTTATAAAATAGGTCAAAATTAATCAAGGCAATTATGTATAATTTTAACTGTATAAGGACTGTCAGAGAATTCCTGCCACCGTAATATTAGTCGTAAAGATTCTGCAGGTGTCCACCCGGATTATAATCTCGGCAATACGGCCCGTTACGTAACTAAAAAGACTATAGTCTATTCGATAGCTAATAGGGCTATTATATATTCTAAATAGCACTGGAATGATAATTATAGGGATTAAGCATATTTAAGTAGAAATGTGGTGTGTGTATTATATTAAGTTATATTTATAAGAGATTCTGCCTTTGGTTTAAGTAGTGTAGATTCTATTATAGGTACGATATTATTTAGATACTACCTAGTCTTTCCCGGCGATCTGCCCTTATTATATTAGAGAGCCGTTATTCCGACTATAGTAACCGGTTACTCCGACTATAGTTCTGTTATAGATCTATAAATTTCTTTTTTCGGAATCCTATCTTCTATATATAACTATAACGTATATACGGTTATAACTGTCGTATAGGCACAAAGACCACGACGTGGTCCCTAGGGGATCTATGCCTGACTAAGGGACATCGGATCTCGGGGACCTCGGGTATTAGGATATAATAAAGGAGAATAGCGGAAAAGACCGGATAGGATCTAAATAATATAGTACCTATAATAGAGTCTTTACTACCTGAATTAAGGGTATACAAGACTTATATAGGCATAACTCAATATAATATATATATACGATATCTCTACTCTATTAAGTTAATTATATAAGTGCTATTTTAACGTATAATAGTTATAAGCCCGGCTTATAATGCCTAAACGATAGATATTGATAAGGCTACCCCTATTCTACTATAAAAAGTAATTACCTTTATATAAGTACTCTTAAATAACTACTATTAACCTAATGAGAGTAATTAAGAGACTAATTAACCTACCTATTAATAAGTTAACCGGTAAACGATAAACCAGTAAAGATATCTTCTAATATATCTAACGCCGAATATAAGGTAGCCGTTATAACCCTTATTCACTAGAGGGATTAGGCGATATAGGAGCATGCCGTGCGGGGTAAATCTGCCTCCTACTAGGATAACTATCTTAATCTAAAACTAAGCGATAAGGAGGCCGACGCCTACCTGCTTCTTAAGCCTATACTACCTAATATTCGTAAGTACGAAGCCTTTATCGTGGACCTAGACACGGAGGAGGCCACGGCTACAGCTACCACGTCTTCTACCGTTATGCTAGAGGGCGATAAGGCTACCGATACTATAGACGCCGCCGCTACTATAGCGGCTATAGCCGCTACTACCACGGCCGCCGGTAAGAAGAAGACGGCCGCTCGCTGGAAGGCTACGACCGTAATAAAAGAAGTAATAATAAGGATACCTATATCTATTAATAACCTCTCCGAAAAAGAGCGTACGCACTACCTATAAGATTACCGTGTATACCGCGAAGAAAAGGCCGACTATAAAGCGTAGTAGAAGGAGTTTAATAAGGTACGCTTATATATTAAAGGGACCGTTTATGCTATATTACGTAACCTCCTCGCCTAGTTATAGAACGATATCGTAAATAATCTATAAGCCTAGACTGCTCTCCTCTACGTGTATATAGGACTAATCCCTATAAATCTCAATAAGGGATCCCTAGTCCTATATCTATAATACACCACGCCTATAAAGGCTATACCTAAGGATATAAATAGATAGGTTACTAGCTAGAAAATAGCGATAATATACTATAAATATATAGGCGTTTTAAAGCTATTTAGCGCGGACTATTAGGTGGAAGACGCGTTAAAAGCTATTAGACTTATAGCCTAGGAATAGAGTAATAATTACCTAGTAAATAACTATAATAAGATATTAGGGTCCTCGAAAAAGAGACCTTTATCCCCCCTCTTAACCTATACCTTTTAAGCCTAAGCGTCCAATAGAGCCTTCGGATATAAGAATAAGGGACCGAAGATAAGATATTAGCCGGAGCACACGCTATAGGGAGAGCCCTAGCGATACCGAATTAGTACTATAGGACCCACGCCGCCCTTGTATAGATAGTATAGCTTACCGCCCTAATAACCTAGGCCGGAAGCTCGCCCCCGCGGAAGGCCTTTATAAGGGAATAGGGTTAAGCCTAAGCGGAAGTATAGTAGCCCTATACCTACGCTATAATAGTACTAAGCCGCCCCCTAATATAATACTCCCTCTAGAAACATAGAGGACTTATTAAGCTATAAAGCTCCGCACTTACCTAGATTAAATTAGAAAAACTAGGCCTACGAGTATTCCTAGCTAAAATAAGGGTACTAGGCTTTCTATTTCCGCGGTACCCTTATAGGGATAAAGGGACGGAAACGGCGGAGTATATAGTACTCTAGTGCTAGGAGGTAACCAAGGAGGACCGTAAGGACCTCTTCGGTACCATAAAGAGGCTATCTATAACTAGAGGAGATTTATACAACGTATTAGAATATAATACTAAGGCTAGAGTAATTATAAGGTAGTTTCTATAACAGAAAAGGCTAAAGGACTTTCGCCTTGCCCTCGAAGTTATGAAGGCCTACGAAAATAACGATAATACTAAAGTAAGACCGGCGCAGGGATAAAATAGTATAAAAAACCAGTTAATTATTAATAGGGGTCTTATAAGCCGAGACCCCGGTAGTATTAGCTTAGCACTAATAGGTTACTATTAGTTATTATCTTCTTTATCGCCCTTAGTAACGCTAACACTACTCTCAATATACTTAAGGCCCTACAAGGACTAGTTAGCTAATTACCGCCGCTAGGGGCTATAATAAGACCGAAAAAAGGCTATTTATAAGGTATTCTAAAATCAGGTCTATCTTACCCTCCAAATGCCTTATCTAGTAAGACAACTCCTATACATCCTCTAGCGTAATACTACCGCGGCCACGACTAGAAGGTAACGCCCGGTTTAGGGCCCGGCTAAAAGACCGGGACGCTATCCCTAGACGCCCCTTAACCTATAGCTTATTAGTAAGGGGATTACCACGGTACTAAAAAGGGACACTTATTGTAGTAATACCGTCGCTATTAGCGGCCTTTACCGCTATATACGCCTTATAAAGATCTATAAGACGTTATTACTGCTTAAGTAGCGGAGGGGATTTATTAAGACGATTAGAATACGCTATTATAGTATACTTACGGGACTATAACGGTACCGGTATAACTTATATCCTTATATAGACGCCGGCTATTAGTATATTAAAAACAGGCTATACTAGTTCCTATAGTATTAGAGTAAGCCTCTACGTCGTCTAAGTATATACCTAAGCGCTTACTATAACATATATAACTACCCTAAGTTAGCTATTATAGCACTGCCTTACTACTACTAGGGTTTATATACGGTATAACCCGAATTAAGCCCTTTTTATAATAGCTATAATAATTATTAGTATTAGCATTATTACTAAGAGAAAATATCTACGACTATTAGTACGCTACTATAAAGGCACTACTACGCTATAAAGAGAACTTTTATTAAGCTATTGCTATTAATTACTTATATATAGATATAGATCGATACCCTACTATCTAGCTAACCCTATACTACTACGCTACCGCGACGCTACCCGCGAGATACTTATAGTAAAACTATAATAAGAATATAATAAGAAAACTAAAGGGGTTTACTGGTTAGTATAAGCCGTAACGATAAACCTATAAGACTATAAGCTGGAATAAATTACGAGGAAAACCTATAATAAACTTATTAGCGTTATAGGAGGAAGAGAGAGAATTAAGGTATAAAGGACTCGGGGGATATTAACTATCTAATTCTTATAATAAGGTAAAGCCCTATCCCCCCTACCTATTACCGGATATAGCAGGAACCTACTTAAAGGAGGCAGGAGGCGCTTACCTCCCTTACTCTCTTTATTAACCGAACGGAAGGAATATAAGGCATAATCCTTAAGGGATATAGGGAGACTAAGGCAAAAGAGCCGTAGCCGCTATATAGCGGAAGGGCGGTAACGCCCCCTTAGCCCCTGCTCTACCGATAGAGATTAGCGTAGGCTAACTTACCTAACTACTAGCCTACTTTACTTCCTATTAGCTATTAGCCTAAAGGTAAGATCCAGATACGTAATAGGGAAGAACCGGGGCTATATCAGCCCCGTAGCGGTACCTCTCTACCTAAGGAAGTATATAGTGGTTTTCCCCGGGTTTTACCCGGGTTTTCCCCTTTATAGCCACCCGAGAAAGACCGTATAGCCTAGGAAGGCTCCTATAGATTAGTCAGGATAGCGGAGTAAGATCGATAATAATAATAATAATAATAACTATAATAAGATTACGGAAAACGAGCTAACGATTAGCGACTTTATAAAAGCTCTAAGGGCGGTTTTTAGTAATATAAAGAGCTCTAATCCCCTGCTATAAAGCCTACAGTCGGGAGAGGCACCTTTAATACCCTCGGGAACCTCCTCGATATTAAGGATACTACTAATAATAAAGATAATAAGAAGGGTCCTTATAGCGATATATCCGTAAAGGCTATCCCTCCCGTAATAAGGAGGCTACTACATATATATACATAGCTATCACTACTATAGATACATAAGTTACTAGACAGTAGAGGTATATTAGATACCTCTGCTATTGAGCGCTACGAGCTTTTATCTTAGCTTAGAGACTATCTTTATATCTTTATATGCTGATTATTTACACGCCTATAACGCCGTATCCGGTATATTAATAGTAGTAACTATTTAGTACGACCGTTTACTATACTATACCTTTTTCTATTACTTTTACGTATCTATATTTTCCGTGCGTTTATCGACTAAGTTGCCTAATCTATTATCTATCTCGTAGATCCTTTAGTATATATCCTGCATCTCAATAGTTCTATAGATTAGTGGCGCTAAGCTATAGACGTGTAGCTATCTTTCTCGCACTTTAATAACTTTCTAATACTACACTGAAGCTGGCCCACTTTATCG